ACACACACACACACACACCCAGACATGTGTATATATATAATATTTATATTTATATCTATATTTATATTTATATTATTTGTATACTGTACACCTGTATGTATCTAGAACATCTTTAACCACGCCATGTAGACTTTCAATCCAGCTCTTGCTTTCGCTCTCTGAGGAAGAGCAACATCGGCCAAGTGGCGTCCTTTGTGGCGAATCGCCTAGCTGAGGTCGGAGACCGTCAGGTGTTTTATTGGTGGCTCGATGTGGCTCGATGTGGCTCGATGTGTCACTTTTTTTTGGGTGAATTTTCAGCGCCCAAAAGGTTGACTTATAGAAGTTAGAAGGCCAAGAAACCAAGTTATGATGTCAGTTGTGTTCGGTCTCTTCAGATCTGAGGCTTAGTTGGAAAGCTCCATATCAAGCAATAACCCAAGCGATGGTTTGGATTTGGAGGCCACCTAAAACCCATGACCTTTGACAGGAACCGCGTGTGGCACCAGCTTTGAAAAGTCTTTCGGCCAGCATGCATCAAGCAGAAAACATTTGGACGTATAGAACCAGAATTCTTTGGGTCACTGGCATGGATCAAACTTGTTGAATTCCTGTAAAAGAACAAGGATGCCTTGCTACCGAAAATAACCAGTCCACAGTTTTCAGTGCCTGAAGAAAAGAATCTTTGAGGAAGCAGAGGATATGCCAGGAATATTCTGTAGTTACTCAGTTTATCGCAAATTTTGTCGCAAACATGAAGGTTTTTAATTTCAAACCATGGGATTTTTGGAGTGCCCAAGTATTTGGAAAAACCAATGTCACATTGTTGCTTACATATCCTTTATCCTAATATCATTGTTGGGTTGATTCCCGTTTTGTTAGTTGTTTATATATGTACAACACACATCATTTGCCGCAATCTGTTTTCATCCGATCCATCCGTACCGTATATCTATGCCCATATCTCATATCTACCACCAATATCTATAGCCTATGAGTCTATCTACACGTGTATCTATATGGAGGTTTCCTAAAATAGGGGTACCCCAGTCATCATCCATTTTAGATTGGGATTTTCCATGAATGAAGCCATCTATTGGGGTACCCCCATGACTATGGAAACCTCCATATCTACAAACCAAGCCACGGCTGCCCCACCAAGGTGTAGGCCCCCAAGCGGCCTCGCAAGCCTTGCGAGCGCTGGCCATTGCACGGAAGTTGCCTCGAATGGAATTCGCGGCGGGTTTAAGGGAACATCCAACAAAAACCTATGTGGTTTCCATATGGATCATATATATTCATATATATATATATTCATATATACTAGCCAGTATTTTGGAGATTATCATAGATCATTACCATTAGATGCAACACCCCTTCTACCTATCAATGGTTGATAGACTGTGGTTACCATGAATGTTTAACGTGGCTGCATGATGGTCAATGATACTCCCCGGCAGACATGGCTGGCTTGGAAATGCATCATTTAGTTCGATGATTGTCCCAGCGAACTAAACCTCCATGCACAGTTCGGGGATTTCCCAGCTAGCCATGTTTGATTACCGGAGGGATGTTTGGGGGTTGGAGAAAAGTTAAAGCCTGCCAATGTTTTCCCTTGATTCATTCATATTCATTCCATTGATCATGAAACATGGGGATTTAATTTGATTTACCCAACGAAATTGGGAAATCCATGGGGATCTTACGTTTCACCATGGATTTGTCGTTACACCATCGTTTCGTCATTCGGCCGGTTCGGCCTGGGTGCATCGGGGTGACTCCGGAAGGTTGCAGCATAGTTTGAAGGTTGCAGCAGTTGCAGCATGTTCAATGTTAACCACTTTTTTTAAAACGATTTTCTACACCTGGAAGGGAAAAACACACTTTTTTTCTAGGATTTTCTACACCTGGGAGGGAAAACTGTAACAGTTTTCCCATGTTTTCCCTTTCTTGGTCAAGCGGCTGATGGGTTTCCTGCCCTGGCCGAGGTACGTTGCCAAGGCTCATCCCGGCGAGGAGCTGTTCCTTCTTCCCCGGGAGGAGAAGAAATCCCAGGTGCCAGGAACTGATATGGAGCTTTGATGTTGGTGAATTTCAGGTTTCTTGAGGTCAAAAAATCCATTTGTATCCATTTATTCTTTTCAGGGTCATGTGAGTCATATGAGTCATATGAGTCATATGAGTCATATGAGTCATATGAGTCATATGTCCTATATGTCCCATATGTCCCATATGTCCCAGTCGAGTGTTTCTTAAACATTCTTGAGCCCTTCA